GATAAAATAAGGCGCTCCTTATCCATCACGTCCAGGTGTGGAAGACGCTGGCTAATAATGTTTTCCCACAGGCTGTGTGCATCAGCTGAAAAGCATAATTAATACATTATCTGCAGGTTATTCTTTTATCACTTGCTCACTGTGCATGTTTGGTTTGTGCAATCTGCTGGGCAGACAAGCGGGGAGTGACTCCCTAAGAAGGCAACGGTAAATATACGAATAGTCAGTCAGTGCCAGCCAGCCAGAGAGTGAGTGTGTCTGTTTGTCTGTTTGTGTGTTTGCGTGTGCGTCCACATCGCCTCAGGCTAAATATTGCCATTATATTCCAACAGCACCACTAGTCGACTAAGTCTCCAAGTCCCCCGAGATCTGGAAACTCAAAGACTGCTGCCACCTCCTCCTGACACACACACACACACACACACACACACACACACACACACACACACACACACACACACACACACACACACACACACACACACACACACACACACACACACACACACACACACACACACACAATGGAATACACTCCCTTTGGGCACGTTAGCATAAAGCCTGGTGGGAAGAAAGAGAGACTTGTAGATGTGTGTTTATAATTTTGGTGTGTTTTTCTGTGTTTGTGTGTTTAGGAGAGCGGCTTTCTGTGAAAGTGGAGCACAGTAATGACACCCCTCCATCTTCTTCTGAAAACCTACTGTGTTTCACGGCAGAGGGAAAGAAATATGCTGCCAGTCATAGTTACTAATTAGAGCAGGCGCTAAAGCATTACGCAGAAAGGGTCGATCCACCCGAATTACACACGGACGGATTTCTTCCCCCTCAACTTCTGGAGGCTTCTCATAACACAGATTTTGTTCTATTCTGCCAGTTTGTAGCTGCAGGACATAAATTCCCATTAATAAATATTTCTGATGTCACAAAAAAAAAAAGGGGTAAAAATTGCCATGTGGTATGAGTTTATAGACAATGTGAGGAAACTGAAGTAAACCATGCAGAACAGCTGAGATTTTTTTTCTCTTTTTTTGTGTAATAAGCCTTTAGGAAGTGGAAGAAGTTGCTCTGGTCAGAAGAGACTAAAATTAAACTTTTGGGCCAACTTAAAGACACCATGGCTTTGTTCCGTATCCAAATCCAAATCTGACCTTTTCACAGCAGTCTGAACGGCCCAATCTGGATCTGTGCCTCTTCCATTGTGTGGAGCTAAATTGGTTATGTAGCTAATATTTTTTGAAGCTCCTGCAGTCTGCACAGTCATGCTGCATTTTATCCTACTTGTCCAGATGTAAACAGCTGCTAAAAATCCTAATTTAGCACCAAGTCCTTCTGTGTGAACGTAGCCTTTTTGTGTTAGCTCCTGTTAATGATGTTAGCTCTTTCTAGTGGCGTTAGTTTCTGCTAATGGTGTTAATTAGTTCGAGTAATGTTGGCTTCCGATAATGATGTTAGGTATTGCTAATAGTTTTAGCTACTGCAAACATTGTCAGCTAAATTTCCAATGCTGTAAGTTACTGCTGAAGGTTTTAGCTACTGCTAATGGCTCTAGCTATTGCTAAAGGTTTTAGCTACTATGTTTTCTGTTCATTTGTTCTACTGCTAATCATGCTAGCTACTACTAATGTTGCTAACTGGAGCTAAAGCAGTGAACAGTAGATTAGTCGCTGCCCTGGACTGTTTGCTTCAACAAATATCTCTTGCACGTGAAAACTTTGAGGCAGTTTGCTTCAATCCAGGCGTTTTGTTGATAGACTGTAGTTCACTTTAAAACCCCTCAGCTGTGGTGAGGACACCGGAGTCCTGAGCGAAACCATCGACTTACATGGAAGTGTTTAGTGGGTGACAATAACAACTGGTCTACCCCCAGTCATTGGCCCGGCAAGCATTGTGCAGGTGAAAAAATGGCTGCCTCCACAGACAAAAACAAAAAAAAAAACAAAGCAAAGTACAGACATGAAATTTTGGAGTAATTCTGAGTTTTTAGGTATCAAAAACAACAAGGTTTAGATTAACAGGAAGCTGCCGACGTGTTCAACTAGTCGCAGATCCCTCTAGAAATCCCCTGGGAGGAAAGCTTAATCATCCACCCTGTCTGTGATCAGCAGTGAAAGCCCTGAGCAGAGTCGAGGCGCTGCAGATGGCGGCAGAGGCGGCACAGGGGAGAGCAGACAGCATAAGAGGAGACACAGACAGGATTTTCAGCCTCGCAGTCCTGTGTCCTTCACAGAGCTGGAAGGTCATGAGCCTCGAGCCATAACATTCGCTTTCTTCCACTTCTATCTCTCTCTCTCTGTCTCTTTCTCTTTTTTTTTATTCCAACACAACCACTGAGCTCTTTAACAATTGCCACCATTTGGCGAATCAATATAGACTCTTTCCAGGCCCCCTTCCTGTCCAGTAACACGCTCCGACCACGCCTACTCTGTGTCGCCCTTGAGTTTCACATTTTTAATCTCGCTGATAGTCAAGTTAAGTCTCATTCCTGGCCACATGTTTTATGGTTTACCCCTCACTCTCTATATCTACGATTGTATTACCTTTGCCATCTCTTTATGTCTGTCTTTATGGCCATTGCCTTCCAACTTAATTCCACTAGATTCCCATCTCCCTCCTCTGCTCCACTGGGGATTTCTCCCACCGAACTCGATTTCTCTGGGAGAATTTAAACCGGGCCAGTCAGCAACAAAAAATTGAGCAATGAAGTCTATTTTATGCACTGTTTTAGAATTTAAGTCTGCCTTTTGTTTTAGCACCGACAGTGGAGGACGTGAATGAAGCTGTTCAATCTATGTTGGTCACACGTCCAAATATTGACTTAACACTAGGCATTTCGTTGAACCCTTCTCTCGTGGAGGATGGTTGTTTCTAAGGTTAGCTTCATAGTGTTGAACTGCTGCATTACTGTAAAACTTAAAAACATCAATTTCACATAATACTGTCTCTTTAATGAAAACCAGTGTAACTTTAACATGACTAAGTGTGCGGTTTAGGGAAAATTGTTAACCTGTCATTTGTTTAAGACTCTGATCAGGCCTGAGTTGGTTGTGCGTACATGATGGTGTGTCCAGAGTCCTACCGGCCATCAGATGCGATTGTTAATTCGTTTTGTGAGCGCCTCGGCCCCCCTCGTCCCCTGTAATGACGGCGCCTCCTTCCCATTCCTGCGACACGCCAGGCGCTGGTAATTGGTCACAGAGGGGACAGTAGATCTGCAGGAGGACAGAGGCGAGACACGGCGACAGACAGGAAGAGACGGAGGGAAAGAGCGTGTGCGCTTGTTTGCAGGAAGAGGAAAGTGTGGAGGACAGAAGGTGGGTGTCTTTCATCTTCACAGCTTTTTATTTAGCAACCTCCAACTGTTTACAAGCGCTGACGCCTATTTGCACACACACACGAAAACTTGCGTTACATTTCTGCACAGTGAACCCCCCACACCACCACCCACATATACAGTAAATGACCTCAGCGCTGCCGTCTGTGAGAGCGGATTGTAATCACACAGCATTGTGTCTGTCAAACGCGGCCAAGGTTATTTAACCTTCCACTCCTAATTTCCCGTTCCATTTTAGCTCCTTCCTCCGTATCAAACATCAGCACATCTATGATAGCCGAAGAAGAAGATGAAGAAAAGGGAAGAGGACGAAGAAGGGAAGAGGAGAACGCGGGAAGGAAAATGAGCATTGCCATGCTTGGCTGAAGCTCGGAGATGAAAGTAGAGGATGATTCACTTTGCTATTGCAAAATGAACTGAAGCAAGCTGAGCCGAGCTATTTTTAAACTTCTGTACGCCGCAACAACCGGGAGAGGACGGCGCGAAGCGTCGGAATTCATTTCTGTATCACGGGAGACGATATTCCAGGAAGACGCCAGAGACATCATGCCGGTCTTGACAAACTTTGGCTTATTTTAATGGAATATGTATAAATAACCACCACAGAGACAGGAAGCAGGAAACAATGTGCAGGATGTCTTTATGTCTTTCTCATTCTTCTCAATCAGACTGGATGGAGAGCATCCTGACACAGCAATTTTGAAGCATTTCTAAAGACTCTCAATCGGACTTAAGTCAAAACTTTGACTGGACCACTTTAGAATGAAGATGCTTTGAACTAACTGAGGCAGGTAGATGGCAGATGGATGCATTTTTGTTCTGCTACGTCAGACTCAAGTGTTTCGCATCCTCTAACGTTCAGAATTTAGTTCTGCCCATCTTCCCGTCCTCCCTCTCCATGGTATGGAAAAACATTCCCCCAGCATGATGCTGCCGCCACCATTCTGTCAAACTGGAATGTGATGTTTAGGGTCCTGTGCAGAGTTGGTGTAGATGAGCTTTACTTCATGTCATAATGTCATTCCCTCATCAAAAACACACCTGGAGTTTTGCCATGATTCTTTCATGCATGTTGGAGAAATCCTTTAATCTCTCATTGCAACCACTCAGCTGAGCAAAAGCTTTTCAATTATTTCTCATTCATTAAAAAGGTTTCCGGATTCATCTTAATTTGGTGGTGAATAGAACCACAAACGTTCAGAAGCTTCAACTCTGACGCAGGCTTTTGCGAAGGAATCAGTCAACCCAAAAATCCTTTTTTTGTGTGTCGGAGCGACAATTATTTACAAATCATTTTTCTTCAACCATCCGACCTACAGTGTTTGTTTCAATAAAATCTTGTCCTTTTGGTTTAGCGTTAAGATATGACTAAAAAATATTCCCAAAAAAATAGTTTTTTTGTTTTTCTTAAAAAAAAAACATTTTCTCTGGTTTCCACATTTTTTGGCCCTGATAGAAAAACCTCCTGGTCTATCAGGTAAAATCCAAATAAAATGTACTGTGTACTATGTGATAAAAGTGCAAGTTTGGTAAGGAGGGCTGAAAGCGAAAAGCAGTGATATTGTGGTTTTCAACCTTCGTTGAGTGAATGACATTGAAAACTAACCAGAAACGATGTGGCGAACAAATGAATCAGTAGAGCTGAGAAGGGAGAAAAGCTTTCTCTGACCTTCAGGGTCCACAGGCCTCGCGGCTGCTCGCCCCAGCAGTGCAACGTCATCAGGGTCCAGTTCTTAAGGCCAGCAGCCGAGGCGTCGTTGGGCCGGGTGTCCAGCAGCAGAGACACTGTCCCGCCCGGAGACTCCAGACTTATGGAGAGGTCGCCGCGACACAGCGCCGAAATACTCACTCTCACCTAGAAGGAGACGCCAGGAACAAGTGGAGAATAGAGACATTATTTAGAAATGGCACATGGAGCTGTAGGATGTCCGAAATTAAGCTTAAGTGATGTTATTCAAGACTTATATTTGAAAAGTTTCCAAGTAAAGGCCAACTACTTCTAAATGTTATGCTAATTTTTATATATTATATCTGTGTTTTACATCAGTAAATATTTGAAGTTCACACTGAGCTGTTGTATGACTCAGTATTCATGGATTCACCCATTTTTAAATTTTTCTGTAGAGCATGTCTTCAAATTCACATTTGCTAATTTTTCTTCTTTTTTTTTTCTTTTTTTTTTTTTTTACAAAACATACTCAAAATTCTAAAAAACAATGCAGGTTTGGAAACTGAAATACTTTGGAGCAATGCTACTTGACACACTAATGGCTGGCATCTGCACAACGGCCAATCCAGGCGCACATTTCATTTTCTATGGCACCCAAAGAGTAAAGATAAGGAAGAGTGTAGATGCTGGCTTCTGCTGTAGTGCAAAGATGTTTGCAACTGGGTCTCTCTCTCTTTAAAAACTCCTACTTTTTCTGAAACTCTACCATCACAAAGTCATCACAACACGGCTCCCCGAACAACCTTTAACAATGTTTTCATCATTGCTGGACTGAGAAGTAGCTCGCATAATGAGCTCAGCAGATGAGCAGTTCTACCAGGTGTTTGCTAATTGATGCTGGCTAGTCTGAAGGAGCTGAGTGGGGGAGTTGCGGAGGAGGAGGTTGGATATTGTAGCTCTGAGGAGGAGCTTCATCCCTGAAGGCGGTTCTGAATGGTTGAAATGGGAGATTAAAGCATTTCTCAAACATGCATGAAATAGTCAAGGCATCACTCCAGGAACGTTTTCGATGAGAGAACATTAGAACATGATGTAAAGTTCAAAAAGTTGATTTGACATAATCATCACTGCCCCTTTAACAAGTTGGACGTCGTACTTTATAATTTACTGTCGTTTCTGATTTTTCATCTCAAAACAGGTAAAATACTTAATTTTTTATTTATTTTATTTTATCTTCCAAACATGTTTGACAAGCAGAAGCTACACACACAATAAGTCCAGTTCACTTTTCCACTTCTCTCTTGGGACAAGCTAATCATCTCATCCCTGCATGGTTTAGCAGGAGCAGAAACTTGATCTCAATCCTTTTCCTTTCGGTTTCTAACAAACACACCTCTGTAAACGGTACGGCCCATGTCGTCTCCAAACCAAAGCGCCACCGTTCACTCTGCCGGTGACTTCACATCCAGATCCAGCTGCTCCTGTCTGTCATCCCGAATGTGCCGAACAGATGGACATGGCAATGATGTGTCCATGACTGCCCCCATCCCACTGCCCCCCAAATGATGCAGGAGAAGAAAAAGCAAAGGTAGAGAGAGGAGGTGAAAGAGAAAGCACAGAGAAACAGCTGAGGGGAATATTAGCTAAATCATTTAGATAAGCACTCACTCTCTCTGCCCCCGCACCCCACTCCTCCACCACCCGGTAAACACCCTCCCTGTCCCTGTTCATCACAAGCAGCACATCTGGTGTGACAATGGCACATCGCAGAGAAAGCCGCCAAGCTGCAAAAAGACTGACAGCCTGCTCCTGTTTACGGCATGTTACCACGGCAACACGTCCATCAATCACACCTCGCGGCGATGGCCTGACCCACGCTTTCTGCCAGGGAGCAGAGCCGCAAAGATGAAGCCTTTTCAATTTACATGCTGACACACTCCCTCTCTCTCTCTCTCCTCTCTCTCTCTCTCTGCTATTTCACAAGTACACAAACTCACAAACACAGATAACTCGCTCAAACCCAAATGTGCACCACCAGACACGTATGCCTGCTGTCACAATCAAATATAAACACATTTGCATGTATGTGGCGGTACTCAAGAAAACACAGTTTTGCCATTTTCTGCAAATGACACTGCCAACACATTACACATCACAGTGGGACTCTTTTTTTTTTACATCTCCTCTATCTTTTCTATTCTCAGATACAGCACATGACAGAGACACTGGAAAACAATTTGTACGACGAGCCTCCCTGGCTTCATGCAGAAGTTTGAATTGGAAACAAATTCTGCTTGATTTGCACGTTTTCAAGGGCAACGGGAACACGGAGCGTCTGCAACACAACACGGACATCAACCGCAAGCAGAGATGCACAGCAGCTTCCAAGAGTATTCCAAACCCTGTTGCACTTTTAAAGGTTTTGTTTCAATGTAAATATAATGCAACAGTTAACTGACTTATGATTCATTGGTGAAATATATGTTTTATTAGATTAAAATGAGTTCTGATGGACTAATAAGATCCACTCAGACCTGCAAGTTTTAATGCTGTAGTTTTCATCCAGATGACACGCAAATAAAGATGGTGGGGGGATACCAGCACGGGGAAGTGAAGCCGTCCAAAAAGAGTCTAGTGTGGGATGCAAAATGCAACTTATGCCGTTCTGGTTTGAAATATAAGCACTTGACAAGCTCCTTAAGTTGATTTGGGGAAAAAAAAAAAAAAACAACTTAAGATGATAACAGAAAAGAGGAGGGGCGTTACAGAAGAAAATGTAACATGATCAAAAAACCCCAAAAAAACACATGATGCCAATAAGCAACGTTGACGTTGAAGCCTGTCGTAAGTTCATCCAACTTGCAGAGCAAAGTTTCAACATTCCTTCAAGAGCAACAACAGATGGCACTTCTCCGTTCAGGGGGGATTAAGTGTTTCACATATTTTATTCTTTTTATCTTTATTTTTCTATTCAGCTGCCTAGGAGGTTCCTGCTTTGTGATATCATATAAATATGGCTGAGTTTAGTAACATGAGAGAACAATAACTTTCTGTTTATTCAGTCAGAATTTCATACATAAAAGAATGTTAAAATTTAATCACCAATTTTTTTAGTCGGCATATTATAAAAGATTGAGCCTTTTATGTCAAGGGAGGATGGCTGACTGTCTTGAAATGAGAAAATTCTGGTTTTTAAGAAAACGGCCATTTGTCAGTTAATCATTAGTCGATCAATAAGATCAATTAACTCATTAATCCATAACTTGCATGCCTACTATGTGTATGTTATAAGTTTGTAGACCCACAGGCGTTTTGCATGTTTTAAGGAAAAATCCTGTTAAGTCTGGGACAGTGCGTCATTTTCCACCAGGACAGCAGTAAAGTTACAATGGAATGGCTTTGATCGAAGCGCAGTCATGCGCTGGGATCCAGACCTAGAACAGCTTGAAAATCTTTTGGTAATTGATATTTGCAGATGCTCTCTGTCTAGCGGACTAAACTTCAGTTCTTAGGAAAAGGCAAATGTGGCGACGTCTCATTGCATATGTGTAAAAAGCTGGCACAAGCATTTCCCAAAAGATTGAAGTGAAAAATGGATTGACAAAGTACTAATACGTTGTAAGTTGTAAGATGACAAAATGCAAAAAGAAAAACTTCTACAAAGCACTGTGAGGACATGTCAAATTGACAAATGTACCTTTCTCTACTTCAGAATGAAAGTTTCCCATTTTGGAAAACAAACTATTTTCATTTCTTGCTGAGTCTTGGATGAAGAGACTGAAACCAATCTGATCTTATCTTCCATATCATCCTCACAGAAGCTGCATCAGGGTTCACTGATCTAGACTTAGAGGTAAGATAAAGGGACAACTGTCAAAAAGAACAAAATCCATGCGCTTGGCCCTTTAAATTTCACCAATTTTACTTTTGCATCCCATTTGTTGAATCTGTGAAAACAGAAAACATAACTTCTTGCATAACGACTCAATCTCCACTGAAGATTTAGTGCATTGGTAGAATGAAATAATAATTGGGTGTGTGAAGCAAACAAAACACACAACAATTTAGATAGTTAAACAAAGTTAACGATGTGTTTCCTCAAAATTTGAAACTAAATCATACTTTCATAAAAAAAAAAGAAAAAAAGAAAGATGGATTCAAAAACAGCTTTCCTAAAGACACTCGTCACCATGGGACTGACCAACGTTTAGACAATAGTGGTCATTAAAAGTTCAATTTTAGTTTCACATTTTCAAACATTTCTGTTGGGTTCTTGGTTGCACCACAAAACTGAATCAACTTGGCCGTAGCGTAAAATTGAACTCAAGCACAAAACGTTGCACCTTTTACACTTAATCTGTTAATGAGATATTCTTTAGACTGCACACCTGCACATGCTCCAAAGTGTTGACTTCGTTAGCTTTCCCTCTGCAGGCTTCAGATTCGATGCTGATGCTCATTTGGCCTCCAGCAGAGAAGGATCTACAACAACAACAGAAATACCACTATTACCATTAATATGACTATTGATAATAATTCCAAAGAAGTCTCTGTACCTGGCTGGATTAAATGCGACCTCTTGCTTGCATTTCCTCTGTGGAGCAGCTCCCTGGAACAGCGCAGCGTGCTGCACCATCAGCCCAGCGTCCAACACTCCAAACCCATACCTGCGACAGACGACAGGTATGAGCTGTCAGTCTGTGAGAACTAGCATAGCATGCTAAAAATAAAACTAAACCAAAACAAAAAACCAACAACAAAGCTTCACTGAAAATTTATGGAAAGGGGTTTCATGGTCAGATGAGAAGGATTTTGGGGTTTGTGAATAAAATCAATTTGTAAGTTGTTGATACTCAGTCACAGATTGGTGTTTCAACAGCACCATGACCCAAAAATAAAGCACCATTTTGAAAATGTGTGGACTATGCCTAAAAACTACTTTGGTGTCATTACATCAACAATTAAACAGACGCTGCAATTTCTGACAGAAGGAGCAGCCAAAAGCAGAAATTGCTTGTTCAAACCAACAACACTCCAGTTATTGATGAAGGAGTTGATGTTGGGTTGAAAAGTACAGAGTCCATATGGGATTTTTTTTCCCTTTTATATTCCCTGGCAGTAACAGGCTGATCAGTTCATAACTGAATACTGGAAGCCTTTCTTACGGTGGCCATCACCTTCTGCTGTAATATAAGGTTTCTCCATGTATGTCAATGTCTTGTGAAGTTTTACATCTTTTTCTTTAGGATAGAAATGCACCGCAAACCTATGATATAAACAGAAACTTTCCGTAAGTGGGAAAGAAAGAAAAATAAAATACATCCAAACTATTTGGACTATTTCTGAGTTATTATCACAGGGTAATAAGTCCACTGACACTTTGATTGCGTCTCTTTTTGTGTTGGTCTGAATGGTTTGAAGGGATGTTTTTGTGTGCAGTTCCATCTCAGCCTGACACAAACAGACATGAACATGCAGCGAATAAATCGATTTTCAATCAAGTTTTTTTTTTTGCACCAAGGAGTTAAGAATGAACAGGTTTTCACTGATGTTCTTTAAATGTGCATATATTTGAAATTTTAAGTTGACATTTGTGACTGTATACAAAGTAGACCAGCAAATATTGCAGTAAGCATGTTGCGAGGGAACGCAAAAGTAAAAATTCTGCCCATGTCCCTTGTAGGGCTCCATAGAAAGGTATGTGGTTTGTCATGGTAAAAAAACAAAACAACAACAAACAAACAAGAGCATCTAACCACGTATTAGTGAAAGTGTGTGTATATATTTGAGTATCCAATTTATGTTTCATAAAAAACAAAAATTGTATAATAGTACAACCTTGGCAAAAGGTTGCGTAATTAAAGTCCCAAAGTGGTTTTAATCATACATCGCGTCCCCTGACAGTTTCATGGTCAGTATCAGACCAGAACATGTAAGCAGCAGGAGGACAACATGGCCGAGGCAACAAGTTATTGATGAAGGAGACGTCGTCCTCTGACACAACCGCTTCCCGCTGCCTGGGCCGAGGCTGAGGGCTGCTGTTTGTGCCGCCTGTAATTGTCTGGAGGATTGATTCGAAGCAATGTTCCATCTCACTGACCGTAATCAAGCCTCATTATTCATTCTTTACCAGCCCAATTTTGATGCTGGCGACACAATGGCCGACCTTTAAGCTGCGCCTCTGCCTGGTGATGCCTGGTGATGGGCAGTGTGACCACTGCCCATCATGCTGCTCTCATTTCCACTTCGGAATAATCTTCTCATTTTCCCGCTATATCTCCAAGAGACTCTGTGTTTCTTTGAAACTCTCCTCTGCTCTTCATCATCACTCGGATTTAGGTGCTCATCCTACTATGACATCAGAATCTGAAATTTCTCCCTCGTAATCTGCCAAATCGGCCACATTCATGCACTTTCCCCTGAACTAGCAATCCTCAGGTAAGGGTCTCCAGCTTCCCTCCCTCCCCAATCACCCTCTTTTTTATTTTTATGTTAAATCACAGGGGTTAACAATCTGCTAATTTCCACTATTATTCCCATTCAGACCTTGTGCCGTTAAGCTACAATAACCGAAATTCATTATCCTGATGAAGGGGTTTCTTGGAGAGAAAGACTAGGACAGGGGGGTGAGGGGGGGATGAGCACTGATCAATAACTCAATCAGTCGCCCTGCATGGGGCTCTATCTCCTCTGACTCAGACTGTCAGTGCATCTAAGGAGGAGCTGCGGCACACACCGCCGCCGACCCAACAGCACGCCGGCCAATCAATGGACACAATCTAATCAGGCGCTATCATCATCAATGACTTGTAGCATGTAGGTCCCGGCATAATAATATTAGGCAGACGGGTGTGCAGGGTTGGAGTGAGTGAAGTTCAAGGGCATTCGGGGTTTGTTAAAGAGGGCGGAGATACGACAGACGAACGGACAGAAGAAGAGGGGCGATCAAGTCCAGTCCTCCAGAGTTTTGTCTTGAAATAAGACTAAACTAATGTGCAAGAAACCTTTTACTAAGATATAGAGGCTTGTTTTAAGTAAATAATTCCTTACTATTGATGACACAGTGCTTGTTCTATTGGCAGATAATTGAACTTATAACATAGGAAAGTTGACTTGTTATAAGTGAAATGATCTGGAAATGGAACAAGCACTTTTTCCTCCAATACCAAGGAATTATTTACCCAAAACAAACCTTTATATCTTGCTGAAAAGTAATTTTTAAGTTAGTTTATCTTATTTTAAGTGTACTAAGATATTGGCACTAGAAACTAGACCAAAAATACTTTGGCAGATTTCACAGCTCGGAGCGTTCATCATTGCAGCCATCAGTTTATCTCTCGCCGCCGCAAACAGTTAAAACAAGGGAACTCTGGCACTGACACTGCGATGTAAACAGAGACTTTCAGGTTTCACATGCAGCACCGGTCCAAAAGTTGGGCATATAATTACTTATTCATTTGATCAACCCGGAGGAGCATCCACCCTTTTTTTTTCTTTCAATATTTGTCACACTCTTCGTGTTTCACGTAAATGAATTCTGAGTCGGGGCTGCTACTAATGAAACAAGTCACAATGAATTCGATTAAGAAGGATCGCTGGGCTAGATCGCGGCACTTTTATTTGTTCTCACTTCACGTGGCCAAGAAAGACGAAGTGAACAAATTCTTCTTCGCATTTTTTCTTATCTCCCACCTCATGCGTTTCTCCACACGCCGTCGGGGATGTCACGGAAGAATTGATCGCTGGGGTGAGTAGAAAGAGCTCACACACACCTTATGTGGCTCTGCGCTCAGGAGGTCGGGAATCACAAGCTAGCTCCAGAATATGACCAGCTAAAGCAAAATCACAGCAACATCAACAACAACAAAAAAAAGCTAAAAGTTTTGACTATGACCACAAAGTACAGGAGGCCAAACCCTGCTGTGAAACATGGCGGTGCCCATTACAAATAAAAAAATGCCCCCAAAAAAAGGTGTACATTTACATTCAACCCATTTGACCCCGATGCTCTTAAATAAAATCCAGTGCAACCAATTAAAGAGAGTCCACCCAAGGAAGTGTAATTTAATCTCAGTCTGAATCCAGATGTTCTTTGAAGGTTCACAAATAAATGTATTTTTTATTGATTTTAGAAGCCACTTACCATCATCACAAGTGAAAAGTAACACAGTAAATGACTACTATTGAGAACATTTCGGTTTTTAATAAGGATTTGGAGTTGGAATCACTTTTGACCCGTAAGTCTGGATCTCTGTCTCAAATCATTTTCGTTGGCTGCAGAAACAATAATAACTCTTCCCCAGCAGATATTTCCCAGCTTGGGGCGAACCAATACCTGACTTCTCATATAACAGACTGCTGGTGACCGATGCTCGCCACCCTCATCCCTTTTAGTGATTAAATATACACTCCTGAGCCTGTATCCTTAAGCGGCAGCGCTGCACCCATTAAATCCCACAGCTCCTGCTGATCGATCGGGCTTGCTTCACAGTCGTAAACCCGCATGAACAGATAACTAATAGAGAAAGCTGCAGGAAACAAGTTTACTCAAGATGGAACGTGATGAAAACGACAGATTTTATGTTTCCTGCCACGCCAACGGCGCCGCACCACTGAGCCGAGATCCCGGGGCTTTTTCTGCCGCGTCGTCGACATCGAAGGGCAGGAAATGGAATAAAGAGCGCACCCTATGGGTTATGTAAAATTGACTGGTTATAACGTTTCTCTCCTCACCAAAAATATACTTTGAGTGTTGCCTTAATTCTTTAATTTATATTTGATAAATCCTTTTATCTCCCATGGCAACCGTTCAGCTGTCCAAAACACCTGGTGTGGCCGAGCCCCGCCTTCGAGGACGAAGGTCCTCCTCAGAGCTGCAATTTGCAAAGTTTTGAGCTTCTGACTGACAGAGCAGCTCTTCTCCATGACTTCCCCTCTCAGCTCCTACAGACTAGCCAGCAGCAAATAGCAAACACCTGGTGGAACTCCGCATCTGCTGAATTCATAGTAGGAGCTACTACTATGTGAAACGCTGGTAAAAATGTTGTTGAAGGGTTAATAGAAGATTGATGCTGTGATGACTACCTGAAGGTGGAGTTTCAGAAAGAACAGTTCTTAAAGAGACAGAAGCCCAATTTCAAGAAACTACAAAGACAAATGTAGTTTCTTTGGCTACATTTGGCTTTGTAGCCAAATGTAACTACAAAGCCAAATGTAGCCAAACTTTTTAAGAAACTTTTTATAAGTTTCTCATAAAAAGAAACTTCAGTTCTTTTTATAAGAACTGAAGTTAACATAGTTACTTGATTACACTATAAAGTGGCACTATGTGGCTGAAAAATAAATAATACCAACCCTTTCAATTACAAAAGTGTGTAGGTCCGGATTTCTGGTGTGGGGTTTTTGTTATACAGTCGAGTGGTTCCGAAAGCAGGTTTGTAAAATTTCTCGTCAGTATGCGAGTGATCGGTGGTAGCGCCATAAAATGTTACTTTCAATCAAACCCACATAATCTGCCGCAGATCAAGTAATTAGTCAGAAATCACAGCCTTCCAATTCTCAACTTGTTCTTTCTCCACCTCCTGCGTAGTCGGACGTAGGCTGAGCCAAGCTGACAACGGGGCGACGGCCAATCTTCTGTCCACGCAGCACGAAGCACGTTAACCCC